AGCGGAGTGCTTGGGGAGTAGGGAGCAGAAGGGGTGCCAGGGAAGAGGTGGAGGTTCTTTTTGGGCATTCTATCGAACACCTTTCAAGCATCATCATCAACAGGTGTACAAGGACTGTACAAGGACTGTACAAGGACTTACTGTGAGTAGATTTAGGTTGAGGCGTGCATTGGAGCAGAAGCTTGGGTCGCCGGAGTTACAGGTGTCTGGTGAGTTGGCGGCGGCGGGCTTGGGAAGGTAGCGGGCGGCTCTAGGGTTTGGACGTGGGTGTTTTGCTATGAACTTCTAAGGTTTAGGGATTTGGGGTTTTGTAAGCAGCAGGGCTTTAGGCTCGGCGGCGAGAGGCCTCCAGCGGATTGGCAACAAGGGTTAGGGCATTGCGAGGTTAGTGACAACAAGGGTTATGTAGTGCCTGATGAGGTTTTGAGCAGAGGTCACAGGGGAGGTAGCATAGGGTTTACCTGGGGCAGGTTTGGTCTGCCGGGGATGAAGTGGCCGTTGGAGATATTGCCTAGGTTGAAGCCGTCGAGGGGAAGCGCGGAGAAACCCCTTGGCGGCCCCGAGATCAAGGAAGAAGGAAGATGTCTCTCAAGGATGAAGAAAATGGACGATGATAAGTATAGAGAGATTTGTGAAAACTTGATAATATTATTCCTTCTACTGAGGTGTCTAAATACACGAGAAAGTAGAGAAGTTCTAATAACCTGTGCGATGTAGGACTAAAATATAGCAAGATAATATAATCTAACTACATTATTTAACATGTTTGAGTATCTAGTTAAAAAACGAGCGCTTTTTTAATTTATAATCTACTCAATAAAATAAACATAAAAGTAGTATAAGGATTTTAGTTCTCATAATGTATGAATGAAAAACAATATTGATCTCATATAGATTATTTAAGTTTAATGTGTATGTATGTAATTGTCTCGCCGTATCCTAACTTTTTTAATTTTGCCGTGTCACGTATCTGTACCCATGTACATGTCCGCAATTGCACCCGTATTTGTGCAACCTAGCTTACAAGCAACAAAAGGACGTCCATAAAAAAGAGGTTTTCAAACTAGACGAATGACCTTGCCGTGCAATGGTACAAAAGTCAACGTTGCTCACATATTATGCCGAGATCCAAAAAAACAAAATAGGCATATAAAATGTTAAAAATCACCAAAGACGAGATCAATGTAGGCGCTAGAATAATGCTAAGATCAAGAGAACCAAGGGGTTTCTTAAAAAAACTTTGAATAACAATCTTTGGAATAAAAAGTTTTAACATAGCCAAAATCTCAATGAGAACTAATCTTGCTAAAATATGAGGGATTTGCTAAGCAGATCCACCAGCAGATTCATCATTTGCTTTCTTAATCATTGAAAAATTCAATGTTGTGCAAGAACTGAGACCTTATAGTGTGAACGAAGATCGAAGCTGCCTTGAAAATAGATGAATATAGTTTGTGAAATCGAGGTAAAAGTTGCCAAGGTCAGTGAAGTGAAGCCGAAAGCAAGATTGAAGCCGATAGATCTGAAAAAGATGAAAACTGAATCTACATTGATGTCGAAGCTGAGGTCAAAAAGATGTCAAGGTCGATGATGTTGAAGATGCAGATCTGAAGAAGATGCAACTGGAGTTCCAGTCATGTCGAAGTCACAAGGGGAAGATCAACAATGATGTTTGCGGCAAAACCCCCTTGGCGGGCCAAGACTCATATGCTAATACATTGAATCTAGTCAACATTATTAAAGACAACAAACAATATGAGGTATTCCAATACATTATTTAGGTCACACAGATAGGCATTTTGTTGCGCGCAGCGGAAATTTCGGCAGCACTTCGGCAGCACAACAAGAGAGTCAGATCGTAATAAGAATTCCCGTCTCACCAAGGAAACAAGAATCTGAAGCGAATATCTCAACAAAGTGAGATATCGGCTCTTCCTCTCATCAGTTCTAGGACTGACCTGTCGAGGGATCCTAAAAACTATTACAAATCACACAAATAGCAGTACAACTAATTTTTACATGGTTCGGCAAATTGCCTACGTCCACGGGGCAAGGAGGGGGGAGATCTACTAATAGAGGGAGAGAACACAACTAGGGTTTACAATCACTCACAATCTAAACCCTCAAACAAACTCTCAGATCCCTCACAATATCTCTCTACAAAAGCACAAAAGCCTACACACAAAAACTCCTCTTGAATTCTGTGTTTTTCTTCTGCTGCCGCAAAATAACCTCTGCTTGTTGCGCTTTTGTTCCGCAGCCGCCAGTCTTTTTCCGCAAAAGATTCCCCTCTGCCTGCTTTTCGTAAATCTCCAAGCTGAGAAAATAAATTCACAGCCGCAAAACCTGCACCCCGTTTTCTCCAGCACAAAACCCTAAACAAAATAACTAGGCTATATATAATTGATG